TTATTAAATTTATTTTTAAATTTTACTGACATCTCAGTGGCTTTAAAATCGCGGTTATTATTTGCAGAATTATTATTTGCAGAAAAAAATTTGCCGCAATGCATCTAGACAAAAGCAAAAATCAAATCAATATCAAATCATTTTCAAACATTTGACATTTGATAAAGGCTTTGATTTCAAATCATTCTCAAATGTATATCAAACCTAATTGTTTGCTGGGATGGCTCTCGCCTGGTGTTCAGCCATGAAGTTCCTGGCCCAGATTTTTGAGTCGAGCTCTTCTGCGGTCAGTTCTTCAGCTTTCTTGTCCCTCAGTCTCTCCAGGATCCTGAAGGCTGTCCGTCTGGTACGATAGTACCTTTCTGATGCACTAATGTGCTTCTGGAAATGGCTACTGCCCAGGGCAACATAAGTGCCAGAATGCGCACCTCAGAGGCCGCTGGCTTAGCCATGCCAGATATGTCAGTTTTAATGTGCAGTACTTCGGTATACTTCGTAAGCATTAGTCATCAAAGCACGTGTACGGGCTACTCAATCGTTATGAGCTAAAATGTTTTCTGTATTGATTTATATTTGTAAATATTGTTTATTTTTTACTTTTGTTAAATACAAACTGTTCTGAAAAAAGTATCCTTTGATTCAAAAAAATTTAGTGCTTCTAGTGTGGTAAAACGCTTTTTTGCCAAGTGTTGGTGCTTTTAGAAACTCAAAAGTTGGCAACACTGGGCACAGATATTTTATAATGCCCTTACTTGGTCATTATATTTTGTGTCATTTAATGCCTAGCTGCCATGAACAACAACTTCTCATAAAAATACAATCACCGTTCGGAGTCGGCGTAAAACTGTAGGTCCCTCCCTTTGTGTGACAACATCAAGGCGCATGCCACAAATCGGAGGAGAAGATGGCCAAACACTAACATATGTATAAGCGACAATCTATTATTATTATTATAATGCCTAGTGGAAATCCGGCACCTAGGCCTGATAGTTTCAGAGAAGTTAATTTATAAATCCAGATTTTGTTTTTTTTTGCGAAAAAATGAAAAAAAAAATCAAAATTTAACAGGGAAAAGCTTTAAAAACAAGTAATTTTTAAGCAAAAACCAAAACGGGCTTCGATTCTCATATTAAAAGTTAAGATTATCGTTTAATTTAGTATGGGACCACCCCTGAGGTAACACCTTTCTCTCTCTCTCTCGGTTAACGACGTCCACAGTTATTTGGTAGCATACATGCATACAAAAAAATGAATAAACGAATTGATAACCTCCTTTTTGTGAAGTCGGTTAATAACAGTTTATGTGTAATTTTTTTTATTTACAAAAAAATTAAGCTACTAATGAAGAAAACCGATGGCTAAATAATAACTGTGTTTATATAATTGTGTTAGCGTCTGGTCTCTTACAAACAAATTAAGCTAATAATGAAGAAAACCGATGGCTAAATAAAAAAGGAATGAGCGGTCTAATGAAAATGCTTGGGGATCTTTTGTAGGAAATATAAGCAGGAAAGTGTGTACATGGCGTATGAACAACATTCTTTCCTGCTAATTTTTCATACAAAAAATCTTTACGCGTTTTCAGTTGACCACTCATTCCTTATTTATTTGTCCATCGATTTTCTTCTGTACTAGTTTGATTTTTGTTTGAAACAGAGCAAGCAGGCTTTAAAACAATTAAAAAAAACTGACACAGAATGTGTTTTTTTTTTATTTTTTCCCCGTTAAAGTTTGATTTTTTTTAATTATTGCATAAATAAAACAATATCTGGAATTATTAATTAATTTCTCAGAAACCATCCGGCTTATCGAAAAGTGATGTATGTACATACCGTTTATGAAGAATTTTATAAGTTCTCCTGAGCCGTATTTCGTATTAAAATTATTAAATTGGTTCGCAAGATATACGTGATTAAGTGGAATCACTGCATAAATAAAACAAAAAATCTGGAACTATTAGTTAATTTCTCAGAAACCACCCGACTTATCGAAAAGTGATGTACGTACGGTTTATGGAGAATTTTGTGAGTTCTCCTGAGTCGTATTGCGCATTAAAATTATTAAATTGGTTCGCAAGATATACGTGATTAAGTGGAATCACTTTTTGTTTTAAGCTGAATAACGGTAACTTAAAAATATCGCAAAAAATTATCCACCACTCGTGTAACATTTCATACATTCTTCAATGCAAAATTTTAAAATATTATTTTTTCATATTTACAGAAATCCTGGTCAAATATTATCGACCCTCATTTAGCACAGTGTACCGCGAATTTCCTTTTTAAACTGGTTGGACAAGTGACTCCCGTTATATCATTAGACCGATATGCTGAACCTTATTACATTGTAGAGAGAGGCGCAATTGATGATAAAGTGAATTTTCTGGCCACATCATTGGAACAAAGCGACACAAATCAATTTACAATTAAGGAACTGGAATATGTAAGAATATATGTATATCTATTCCACTTATTTGGGACTATTACCAAATCTATTGTACAAAATCCTCGATTCCGAATGATGGCTGTGGTGATGGTGTGGAAAATTTGCTATTTTCTGCATGATGATCAATTCTCTTTGAATGCTGCGAGACTAGTTGCATCGAATGTAGGCAAAATCCTATTGGAATTTTACTACAACGTATGGATACTAACGTTTGGGCTGAAAAAAGTGGACCACTCTTGTTTGCAAGATGGCGATTCTTTAACTCCCCGAGTCCCGCAAATCAAGTTTAATATTCTCTTCGGCTGGCCTTATAGTTTTTAAAAAGAATTGACCACCGTGCAACAAATTGTCAGGATTTCGTAATTTCAGGAGTCCCGAGCCCTTTTTAGTCTCGAAATCCTGGGATCAAGCCCTCGAGATCCCGGGGACTCGGGATATAATTTAATCTACGACCAAATTAAAATAGATCGAAATTCAGACACTGTAATGCCATGAAATAATTATAAAATTGCAACCCTACAAGCAATCAAATAATACATACATACAGTGACGAGCAAAACTGTAACATGGTGTAACACATTTTATTTCAGCCACCGCTATCTTTCCAAGTTCTAACGACATTCATACTTTTGTTGTATATTCTTATTGGTACACCTGTACTTCCCCTCTCATAACGAATTGAAGTCAATCCAACAACAATAATAAAACCAGCAGACAAAAATGTAAATTAAGGCATATGTTACAGTTTTGCTCTTATATAGTTTTAACCACTTTTTGACAATTTTCACGAAAAAAAA